GGATTAATCATCATATTATAATGAAACTCTGTACATGTGCACCCTGAAACAATATACACACCTAAATCTATGCATAATAATAGCATAATTTGTATAATAATTCATTTGGTTCATTGAGGTAAAGACATGATTATTTTAATGTTGATAAACATACTTGATTATTTATTATTAGCCCATTTCTGGTATCTAAAAAAAATCAGATTTTAAATTGAATTCATCGCAGAGGTGCTCTGTAACTAAAAGACTGAAAACCATGGATGAAAAATCAAATATATTTTCTGTATGTATTATAAATTTTGATAATGTGAATCACATTGTTTTTATGTTGTGCATCTCAAATGGCAGACAAAAATTAGTTGCCAAACTTCTTGTTTAAAAAGCAAATCTCAAATTTTGAATTAATTTTAATGTGTCTCCAATACTCTCAACACACAGGAGTTCTTTCTAAGCTTTCTTTGATCGCATCTGGTGTCACCAGACTCTATTTTGAAATAATTTCTTAACATAGAAACTCTCAAGGTCAATCTTCTCAGAAATGTTTGACTGTGTATGCTGCTTTCTTCATCCATCATCCAGTTACCATAGTAATGCATAACTCTTTGTTAATACGTTTCAGATTGATGGGGTAACTGGTAAGTCGTACACCTTCCGGCAATTAAAAGACCTTGTTTATCGATGTGGAAGTGGGTTAACTAAAGCTGGATTCCACCAAGGAGACGTGTGCGTTTTATACCTACCAAACCTGCCAGAATTTTTTGTTGCATTTTATGGCATTGCATCTATTGGAGGAACCGTATCCCCTGCAAATCCAGTGTACACTGTTTGTATGTATGTTTTTCTTATTTATGTGAAATTTCAATCCATCAATTGTTGTGTGCCCGCGATCATTTGCGATCGTATGACATTAATATTCCACAGTCTGTCTGTCATTGATGCATATTGATTTGCTTTTTGTTTAAGACCAACTGGCAGCCATTTTTGTTATTTATAACAGTTGTCATTTTCAGTCACGCCTTTGCCAATTTTATTTAAAATTTTTATGAACATCATGAACATCACCTTAGTTTTGTAATTTGATTGAAAATGGGCAACTGGTGGTGACCTTGTTTTTGCCTTGCCTCTAATGAAATAAAAGAGAAGGTACAGATTGTCTGTCTGGCAGCAGCCCCATCGTCATCATCGTTAACAATTGTTTGTGTTCAGGATGACTAGAGTAATTTTTCCAAAAAGTGTGTGTACTTTTATTTTATATTTTCTTGATGTGTTCCAATGTTGTAACAAGATGACATTATTGATATACATGATGACTGGCTGGCAGTCATTTATTGTACCATCAATCAATCAGTATTTCTGGCATACCTGGTTTGATTTCGTTCAAACTAATGAGACATGTTATTTTGTTTCATAATTTGATTCAAATTGGTCGGCTGGTGGCCATTTTTTTTGTCCCTGTTCGAATGAAGTACAAATGTATACATGTTAGGATACATGTCTATGACTATTTGTTTCCAATCAGATCAAAGATGGCCGATTTGCAGCCATCTTGTTTTTTGGAAACGTT